GATTTTCTTCGCCAAAACCAAGTTTTGGTAATACTTTACTCATTAATTTACAGCATTTAACAACTAGATTGGTATCTGTTGGACTAATCTCTTGGCATACTTGAAATAAACATAATATGTCATCCTGTTATAAAAAAAGAAAAAAGAAATAAAATATACATAATAGTAAAACACATTGAACAGTATTAATAACATCTTGGAACAAACATTTTCCATGAGTATTTTACTAGTGTCTTATCTTCGTGATCAATTTAATTAACTTTACATTTTTGTCATTTTTAAAACTATTAAAAAAAATGTTCAATTGACATATTTGAACATACCTCATGCATGCTCATGATTTTGAAAATTTTTTATAATTATAAAATTCAATTATTCTTATGGTTTAGTTATATAAGTAAATATAATAAGTATACAATATTTTGATGTTTGATAGTTATTGGAATTTTCATGAACATTTCTGTACGAGTCTAAACTGTTAACTACTCAGTATACAAAATTTGTAGACTCCTAATTAAACCTTTCCTACACAACAAATTATTAACTACTGTCTACAGTAAAATTCTAGCTACTATACTGATACAATAGGTAGGATAATAATAAATGATACATAATATGAAATTATAATAGCCATTCATTATCTTTTAAATACATTTTTTTTTTTAATTAAGCATAAACAATGTAGGTGCTTTTATAATTAAATTATACATATATATATAATCGAGTATTACTTGATTTTTCATCCATTGAGGTTTAAGCACATTGTTAACTTTGTCCAAGCAAGTGCCTAAATAATTTTCATTAGGTGATTGTTGGTGATCTGCAATGGCTATTGCCAAAGTAGTCACCGAGTCCTTTATAATATATTCTTTATTCATCGAAAATAATTATATTAAGTTGCTGCGACAGAAGTACGGAACAAAATGTATGAAGTGAATCGTTCAAACCTTTATTAAGTCAACCCCATAATTGCGCAAAAAATGGAATATTATACAGTTTTTGAAATTGTCAGTCGTAGATACGGACAAGTGGACAACAGACTGCAATACAGTAACGTAGGCGATTAACTAGTTAATAGCCATTGCAAATCGCGAACGAATATAAAGTACTAAATACAAACTCAAGATAAAACATCAAAACATACAAAATTTATCAAAAGGGTTAAATAATATTGTAAACACAGTAAAAATGTAACTACATCAGTATCTAAAGATAATAGTTGATTAGTATATGTAACTGTTATCACTAAAGTTTTGTGTGTAATTAACCTAACCTAACGCTGGTTAAGTAATATTTTAAAATTCATTGTTTTTACTCTTTACTGTGCTCTTTACCTAGGTTCTGGAAACTTGTAAACAATTTCAAAAATCAGAATTAAAGTTTAAAATAGAGTCGAACATCCTTGATGAATTACAATCAAAGATCAATCGATCAATGTTAATAAGAATTATTTGACTATGAAAAAATACCCGAAATATTAAAATATGTTTGTTAATCATACTTTTTATGTGAATACTGCGTCCTTATCTAATATTACATAACCAACTATGATGGATCAATTTTATAACTAGAATTTAACAAATCTTATACTTTATACTTTATAGTTTATATTAAGTGTACAAAATCAAAATACACCCATGTTTATTAAAATTTTAACATAAATTTAGAATACTAAAGACAAATTAAATAAAATAGTTTCAGTCCAGTTTTATTCTGTTTTTAATAATTTATAATTGTATACATAAACTAAAATCATTTTATAGAAATTATGTTTAAAAATATATAAAAGAAAATCAATAAATTATTGATACTTTTAAAATATTTAGCTTATGTACAAAATAATGCATATAAAAAAAAAAAAAATTGTATATTATCTTTTTTCATCTCGTTTAACAGCACAGCCTGGACATACATGTAATGTATTATGGACATAAATGTCACAACCATCACAGTAATGTTTTTTACAAGATTCACAAAAGTATACGTTTTCAGCTGGGGCTTTTATTCTTTTTCTACATCCATAACAGTAGGCACTAGAACCTTCTTCAAGTTCAATTTTTATAAATGGTTTAATAGGAACCAAATGATGTAACGATCTAGCAAGATGTAAAGAAGACACTAGTATGAGGCCACAACACTTGCATTCTACAGGTAATTCACAATATTTGCTGTTACATTGTGGGCAAAAAAAACCTTTAGCGTTTAATTTGCCACCCTCTGCTAAATGACATGAGCACGTGGTGAATGGTGGTTTTTGTTCTAATTCTTGAGGAAAGCCCATTTTCACACATGATGCATCAACTGAATTTGGAAGAGGAATAGGTTCCACAAACGACCAAAGAATGTGCTTAAAATGTACATCGTCTACAATCACATTATGTTTGCCTTTAGTTTCATTACATAAATGTCGAAACATACGTACTTCAGCAGCCAAATGTATCATAGAAACTCTAATATTGTTTGTTTTAAGTATTTCAATAGTAGTATTTATTTCACCTGGATCACACGAGCTCAAACTAGATCCAATAATTAGTATTTCTCTACTAGTATGAGAGGGCAACATTTTCATAACTGACAATGCAATTTCTAAAGAGTTTTGCACAGACATCAATCCATTGCAATAATTAAAATCTCCAAAAGTTTTTTTCAATTCTTCAAGATGATATTTCCTATTGCCAGACAATTCAGATATACGCTCTGCAGATGAATTCCTTGTAGTTATCAGACCAAGTTGACTAATTGGGTTTTGATCAAAATAATCTTGAATGAAATCTTGAAGTAATTTATAGGTACACAATTGTCTAGTAGGTTTTAAATCCTTTTCAATCATTGAATTAGAACTATCTATGATAACAAATAAATGTCGCATCATGCCCAAGCGGACATTAGGCTGTCGAGTTGCCAATAATCGCTTAGATTTTTCAATAATCTCTTTAACTGACCATTCAACATTTCCTCCTTCGTCTTCTTTCACTTCCTCCCATGTTTTTTCGTAACCACCTTCCCAGCGATATTCTTTAACTTCAGTATCGTCCATTTCAAAAATCTTCTAAAAATTATACAAGTAATACAAGTTAAACGAGCAATTTTTATTTTATTTTTAAATAAATTATTAATATTCATTAAAATATTGTATTATTAAAATTTAGTAAGCTGTATTATTAATTTTTATATTTTATTCTACAAAATACAAAATCCACGAAGATCATTTCGTATATTTGTATAAATAATGTATAAATTAAATTTTAAATAGTTAACTTACAGGCAACACAAATTAAACAAGAATATTATTACTCAATGCAATACAAAATAAATGTTGATTATTATAACTTTAATTTTACTAAATGCTTATTTATTTGTAAGTATTTAATAAAAAATACTTAAAAGTTAATATTTAATAATATTTTAAGCTAATTCTACTTCGAAGTATCAAGTAAGTAAACTGTCGTATATAAACTGTAAAGTATAAACTATAAAGCCGTATGGCATATAGCGTATACTACTGTTAACAGTCACAGTGTTAACACAAGAGTACAAGACAGTTAAAAACTTAGTCTTACATTATCAATATTAAAATATTATATTTAAATTAATTTAAATATTTCTGAACTCTTTGGAAAAGTTATGAATAGGGTTAAGTCAACTTTGGCAGAATACCTATAGTTCCACAAAACGTCCATTTCAAAAATTTAAAAATATAATGTTCACGAAAAGAATAAAATATGTATCTTATTCAGGGACGGATTGGGTCAATATTTCAGGCAGAGAATTTTTTTTTGCCAGTTCAAAAATTAATAGGGAAAAATAATTTGATCATATAAGTATGTGAAAATATGATGAGAAAAACCTTTGCTATTAAAAAAAATATGTTCAAAATTTAATACAGATATAAGTATAAACATTACACACAATTAACATATGCACCTAAACATATCTACGTTCATACACTAATTACACTTATAAAATTATATATGTATATTTATAAACCTACATCTATTGTTAGACACTTAGACTCAAGTATAGACGGAGTTTTAAGTGTTTTGGGGATACAAAATGGAACATACCTAATTAAAAGTATACGTTTGTCCACCAGTTCCGTAGCGTAGGTGAAACTGTGCAAGCGGTGCACCGGGGCCCGAACTATGAAATATTTGGAGGCTCTCGGTATTATGTTTATGTTTATCAAAATTGAAAATACTATAAATTAAAATAGGTAGGTACCTAGGTACTTAGTGCAATTTATGTTTTGTTATTTTTAAACATTGTATTGAATTTTGGTTTGAAACTAATTTTAATTTTTTCCATCGGTAGCAAATTAATGAGACCATATTTTGACCGATTGTTTAGTATTTATTTATTTTTTCATACACATTACCAATTGATAATATTGATCGAAACACATATAAAAACTAATAAAAACTTCTTATATTTGAATATGTAATATCTTGTAGTTGTTGTGATACAGACTATATCATATAATATCTACATTTAATAGGGACATTTAAAAGGTAAAAATGGTACTTCATTTTGTTGTTAAAAAAGTATCTTTCGGTTTTTATTATGAACTTCATACAATAGGCTATGTCGGTATGATATAATATATAGAGTATAAATTGCGTTCAAATTACCTATTCATCATGTATAATGCAACTTGGTTTAAAGTAAGAATATAAAGGACTATGCAATAAATTGTTTTTCAAGGGGGCCATGGGTTTATAATTTTCTTTTGCATTAGAGCCTCAAAATTCAAGATGTGGTGTTGGACTTAGGTGCGTCCGTACCCTCTGATTCATCTTAGTTGCGCCACTAATACTATAACATTTATAATTATTTATCATTAATATAATAATAAATAATAATATTGATGTTGACCTAATTATTTTAGAACAAATTACCATTGGAAAAAAACATTTGTGGAGCTTGTTACAGCTGATGTTGTCCTAAACAAAACTGTTGATAAGAATTATTGATAAAAACCCCAAATATTAAGATAATATGTACAATAAGATTGTTTATTGAACATATTATTTGAGCGAGGATTGTATATATCCGTTGTTGTTCATATTATATTGCCTATTCAATATTCATAGTCATTAGTCCATACTCCATACTCTATAAATACTAGATAATAGGAATTAAAAGCTTGTTCAGAGCAAAGTTTTGTATTGAATTATTAATTTAAAATGGCTAGTGAAGAATATACTGGTAAACCATACAAAATAATTGATTCAAAGCGTGAACACAAAATTGGTATCGTGGCAACTTCATTATCAGATTTTATGACTAAAGGTAAAAAATTGTTGTAATGTACTTAATATACATATTTCATATTCTTACTGAATTAAAAAAAAAAAATTAAAATACACTGATTAATGTTGACAGTATTATTTATCTGTATAATATGATATAGCTTTACAACATTATACCTTTGTTTAGCACAACAAAAATTTGACATAAGTGAAACCATTAAAGTTGTTCTTGAATCTGATGGTACTGAAATTGACGAAGAAGACTACTTTGACACCTTGGAAAATAATACATTAATTATGATTTTAAGACCTGACCAAAAATGGAGTCCATATAATGATATAAGGTACCTAACAAATTATTGAATCTTTTATTTTATTTACTATGTAATGGTGGAATGATTGAAATGTAAACTTGATATAAAATTATGTTTATCTATATAATCTGGTTCAAAACTACTTTTTGAAATGGTATAGATGGGTAGTTATTTTAGTAGGGTACTGAAACTGAAGCTTCATCTTTGGAACACTACTTTTTCTAGTATATAGTATTAATAATAATACAAATTATGTAATTTGAAATATATTTTGTAATTGTTGATTATTAAATAGCCTTCAATCTTATCAATAATATTAACATTTATTTTCTTGTGATTTCTAGAACTCTGATTTTTCTTGTAGATTTTTATTTTGATTACAATAGTAAAAATCTAAGGATAAAAACCATTGAATTGTAGCCGTGCCCCAACTTATACATCAAAATTACTCTACTTTAAATGTTAGATTAGACAGAATTTTCTAATTATTATATTAAAATATTCTCCATGTTTTTGTACTTAATATCTATATTACATTTTTTTTTCAAGCATTAAATTTACTGATGATCAAATTGATGGCACACAAAGTTTAAACAGTTTGATTCAACGCCTGCAAAATGATATAGGTCAAATAGCATTCTTGGGTGGTTGCGATCTTGAACTTTTATCTGATATGGATCCAGACGGTTTGGTTGATATGGCATTTGACAGGTAATATTATTTAATCAATCAGTTGTTACAAATTAATAGAATTCAGATTTCTGTTCAAAGTTTTCTTAGTTTTGGAAGTTATATAAAAAAAACTTGCTTTATGCTAATATCTTATATTTCTTCAGGTCATTTCTAGATCAAATCAAAGAAGCTAGTGGACGCTTTCTTCATGAAAAACGAGAAGCTCAAGATGCAATCAATTTGCTCAAACTCTACCATGCCTCGACAATCGGTCAAAATTCATCTAAGAAAAGTAAAGTTTAATACTTAGTTATGGAATTAAAATATAACATTTTTAAAATTATTTTATCACTGTAAAACTATTTATATTAAATGATATTACTTTGTTGTCATTAAGTTATCGTTTTTATGTTTCATTAATAATTTCTACAAAGCATTTGAAAAATATTAATACAACGAAAAGTTGTATTCTTATTCTGTTTTGTATGAATTATGTGTATTTGATTAGTGTTATAAAGATTACCTTTAATGTTTTATGATTAATAGATTTTAAATTTCATTGAACTGTGTTTTTGTTTTTAGTCATTAAATTTAGAAAAAATAAATGTATTGAAATATTTTAAATGCATTAGTTGATGAAAATAAAAAAAAAACTGAATAATCAACTTAACAGTAAATGTATTCATATTTTATCAAACATTAAATTAAAATATAGAACCAGTTCAAACCAATTTTTTCAAAAAAATATTTTTTAATATCTAATTTATATACATACATTTTTTTTTTTTTTAAGCACATCTCATTAATATTATTTAAATAAATAAAATAAAAATTGATATGTCCAGTTTTAATTTTTAAGATAATAAAAATAATGATTTGTTTGCTTACCATTGTAAACATATTTTTGCAATTTCATAACAAACCTTTATTGTCAATCTAATCAAGTTGTACTGGTGCTATTCTGGGTTTTAGCAAAATCTTAGTAATGCCATATCACTTTTCAGTTAAAACTTTAATAAACACAATATTATTATAATATTATGTATTTAAAAATGCATCTACAATTAATTTTATAACCTTAAAAATCCAAGTATTAAGTATTGCAATAAATAATAAGAGTAAATATTAAAATTAATATTAAGTCGATAAATGTAAACTATAAATTAAAAGCATTGTTCCTAATTTAGTTTATTTTAAAACAAATTATATTTGTCCTAATAATAAATATATCACAGAAAAAATTTAACCAAACTGTTTATAAAATAAATCTATACAAATTTAATTTAAAAAATAATATGCAATCATAGAAGTTAAAAATTTTTTTTTCTGTTTTTTACTCTAGCTTAAATATTACATAAAGTTAGTATTAAAAATGTTTTATTAAAATTAAATCATAAATTACCATCAAAAAATGCATTTAAAAATAATTTTTGTGTTTGAAATTTTTATAATTGTGTAACTCTTAACTTGACTGTTTTATATTTTTATACTGTCTATTTTATCATTTTTAATTTATGTGACAGATCCTATTACCCTTTTAATAATCACAAATATATCTGAAATATGCACCATAAGAATTTATGTTTGAAATTTATTCTTCCTTTGTTTTTTATTTAGACTGCTTTACAATTACTCTGAAAAACTAAGTGGGAAATTTGTATAAAGAAAGAAAAATGTCAATGCAGTTAATTGTATTTTTCTTTTTTTAAATTGTATTGAAAGTAACCTTAGTAATATATTAAGTATTGGACCATTGTTTAATAAGGGTAATTACTAATTACAAGTTATAATTAAGAAAGAAATTGTATTCAACTTTTTTTTTGTATGTGTAGTAGAATATTGTTAGACATTTTTTTTTTCTGAAAGCATTGCCATAGGTATCAGTGGCATAGTTACCGAGAAGAGGTTTGGGTGTTGTATCCCAAGCACAATGACCCTATAACTCTTTATATTAATATAATATATCATGTATTAATTAAATTTTTTACAAAACATTTTTCTATTTGAAAAAAATTAACTAAGTAATACAATGAGCTGAATTAACTTTAATCAAGTTATATTTTCGTAGTTTCTGTGGTAGAGATTAAATTTAAGTCTAATTTTTACTTTTTACTCTAGAACCAATTATGAATTATGGATTTGCTATGTTGGCTGTTCATAAAATTTTAAAGTTGATCCAGAAGAGTATTTAATAAATTTGGATTTAAGCCATGTAGGGTAGATATTTTATTGTGATTTATGATGAAATCGTATCTTGGTACCAATCAAATAAATACTTATTTCTAAATTTGAATATTTGAATATTGTGTACCTATTTAAAGTATACAGAACACAATAGTTGCATTTAGAGGGGCTTATGTTATAATATAAACCAAATTTTCTTGGTAAAAATAGACAAAACGTATAAAAATGGTATTTCTTTACAAACGATCAAATTATGCCACTGATAAGTATTAAATTTAGTAATTTAATATTTTGATGCAATTAGGGTAGGTATTTAAAAAAATATTCTAGATAGTTAATTGTTTAAATGTTATAGTGATTTAAAACTTTAAAATGCACAATTCATGATATATTTATCTTGTAATCATTGATTATTTTATTAATTTTTTACTTCACAGTTATATATTCAAATATTAAATCAATTAAAAGTTGTTTGTGTGGATAATATAAAATAGGCCTTTGGCTGTAAAAAATAACAATTTGTGTTTTATTTTTAATATTGATCAAATGTATTAGGTAAAATCAATGGTTGTCTGGGAAATCCAGAGTTGTTTTTCCATATCGGGGCCCAACATACATATTTAAATATTTAATGTTTATATTACCTTAATTTGTAACCGCGATTTTGTCGTTTTGTTTGTGAAGTGTGATTATTATTATTATATTAAGTATATCATAACAATTTATATTAACTTAAAAATTAATAATTATATCAACTTAATTTACTTAATAATCATTAAAATTTAAATTGAACTTTGAAACATACCAATAATAAAGGCTTGGCATAGCGTGCTATGCGTTATATACCACTCATACCCACAAGTGTTTTATCCATTTTAATATTGATTTTAAATACTATAGGTTGCTTACTAGTCAGTTTTTCGACGGCGTCGAATTTAATCCTCAATATATTGCGATAAGGCTTCAAAATTTTGATATTCATATTATTTTATTCCGGCTATTATTACTATGGTTAGGTGAGGTACGGAAAAAACCGATTTTTGCTCGTCGCCCGTATATATGTAAATATTATTTCCAGGGCTCGAGACTTATGCATTTGAATATTTGTTTATAGTACGCTAAAAGATAGTGGAGTGCGGTACAAATCCGTTTCATACCAAAAAGAATGCAACTCTAAAAGTTTTTTGTGGATATTTTAGGATTTTTGCATTTTTTGCTATTGCTTGCTATTTATTGCTTATTTTTAATCTATTTGAAATAAAATTATAGCGTTATGTAGTGTGTACACAATTCGAGCCTGCAATCACTCAATGAAGGGAGGGGGGTACCTACATTATAATGTAGCGAATTATTATTGCGATTTTTGGGTTTCTGTAATAAATACTTATGAGGATTCTCGTATAAAATTGAATAATTTATACATTTTTAACTATAAAATACTTTAAAAGTTCTCGAGATTTAGACACAAATTTAGGACAATTAAAATCCATTTTAAAAATCATCATGCCTATGTATTTTTGATATTTTAAATCAGTTATAATGATGACGTATGGGGAATTTTCAATTAAATTTTTATACTTTTTGTTCCAGCTATTTTTTTGAATTTCTTATCAAAATTTGTAAAGAAAAAATATAAATTTAAAAGTCTATCCATACCTCAAAAAAAGTCAAAATAATTTAAAAGTTTTGTCATGTACAAAAAATGTTGATATTAACGTTTTGTGAGAGTTTCAAGTGTCTACAGTTATTCGTTTTAAATTACAATAATAAAAAAAACAACGTATTTTAAGAAAGTTATATTATTATAACTATATATTAGCTAATAAAAAATAATAACAACCTGTTACCTAAATTTTTAAATTGAACGTTACATTTTTACCTCAGAACTTAAATGTGTATATAATTCGCTTGAAATAGGCAAGTATTTATTAACTTAATGAAATTATAGTATTTAAAAATTTGACATTTATGACAATTGATAATAATATCTAAATACCTATATAAACGATACTGTCCTAAGTGATTAATTCATAAATTCATAATCAATGCAGAGCTGAACCTATTAGAGCTATCGATTTGAAAATTTGAGGGTAGATCAATATTATAACTTAACCGTGCATTAAGAAAAGATTTTACAAAATTTTAGAGTAAATTTTATACCTATATATTTAACATGTATATCGTTACAATATATCAATAAGTAAGCGCTTATAAGTCGAGAGTCTCAAGCTCACATTTTTAGGTTCTTTTTCACATGGACAATTATATGTGGCATACTCCAGTCTCCAGAATTAGTACGCCCACAAGTTAAGTCATTTTGGCACCAAATGAAAATTCATCAAATGTAGTTTATCGAGAAGTTTCATAATGAAACTGTTGTCATAAATTATTATTTTTTATTATACACATACACCTATTAAAATTTCGCGGGAAAAGCCGGTATAGGTAACCTGCTAGTAATATAAAATAATATTAATAATAAAAAAGAGGTCTTGTATCCTTTATTTTGTAATATATGTAATTCGTCCGTACTCTATACATCTCGTTTTCTATTTATCATATTTTCTACCTTGCATTTTTTGAATACATTTTGATCGAAATAGAAATTCAATAATACAAATAAAATGATTTTGATAAGTTGAATTTTGGAGAGAAGATATTTTCTAAAGATTTTTGGTAGATAGATAATTTTACTAAAATTGTAATATAGTTTTTTTTCACACTTGATACTTGGAAATAATTTTTTTAAACAGATTGCAACTACATCTTAAAGTTTGTTTGATGAATTTTAAAGTCTTGTGTGGATTCAATGTTGTCCAATGTTTTATTCAGATCTCAATCTATACTTATACATTTTTCCTAAAATTTTTCACCAAATAAACTATAAAACATGATTTTAATGATGGTCCTTAGTTGTTTATAGAATTTTTTAAAGACGAAAAAGTACTTGAATCGGAGTCTGTTTTTTCTGCATTTGTAGTCGGTTCACCAATAAGAATAATTATTATCGATTTTATCTTTTACTTTATTCACACTAAGAAATTCGGTTTCGTCTTGTTAACAGTTGTTACACGTTTAATATATAAATTATAACGATGAATAATGAAATTAATTATTAATTAAATACTGTTATTTACAAATACATAATAAAACTTACTATTCGTTATCATACATTTTAATCAATGACAGTAATTAATAATTAAAACAAATAATAATATATTTTTATTTTAAAGTATTTAAAAAAGTATATTGATATATTATTTAATTATAAATTTATAAATTATAAAATATTAAAATATAAGTATATTTTGTATTAATTACATTTATTACGAATAGATACCTAATATTTTTTTGATGCATTATTGAGAATTAATTTTTCAAGGTATCTTGCATTAATCAAATGGTTTTTGAGGAAGTGTTTATTATATTTGATTTTTTAGATTTGTATAATTGACAGACAACATTTGTTGTCCACATAATTCCAACATGGTGAAATGTTTGTTTCTTTTTGTCTTATGGAAAATTTGTTTTATTTTTAAAAGTTGATTAAGCTTTGTTTTAATTCTCTAATATTTGTGAATTACAATTACATATTGATTTTCTATTAGGGTTCGGATCATTCATACGTTTACTATTCGCTGAATTAAACATTTTATTTTATTTATCGATGAAATTTGTTGTATTAATAGTTGATGACTTTATTTCACCTGTAACAACGTTTTTATATTAACAGAAACTGAATTATTTGGTAGTTGTATGAACAATTTACTATTCATTTTTAAAATGGATTTGAATATAAGTATGTCGGTGTAAATTTAATTAATGTGTGTGGTGCACAATTATTTACATCTATATTCCATATGCCATTTTGATATCATTTAAATTTTAATGATACTAATTTACTTTTATTCATCTCGAAATTTCTATTTAATAAATTATTTCTCACATTCTTTAATTGGGGTGGAATATCATAAATTAAAAATATTTTTTGTTTTCAAAAATTACTTGGGGATTTTGATGTTTTTAGAAAGAATTTTATTTATTCATCTACATTAATATTTCTCTCTTCTAACTAGTCCTTATTAGATAATATGTACTTAAGCCAGTGGTTCTTCCAATATCTAAAAGATTCCTGGAACTAAATATTGAACTTAATAAATTACGTAAAAATTAATAATTATTAAATTAATACAATACGTTTAAAACAAAACTGAACTTAAGCGTTTATTATATACAAAAATTATATCAAATATAATTTGATTAATTTTCTGTATCAAACATCATTCCTATATTGGCCAAGTGAAATAAAGAAAAAAATTGCAAACGCTTCCAACAATATGGTTTAATCATTTACTGCAGTCGTTCTCGTGGTGACGCCCAGAAGGGTTCATTCTTTACTCTACAGTCCATCTGCCATTAGATAAATATATTATTTAAATATTAAATCTACCCATTTCTACATCTGATCTAAACCTGAAGTAGATAATGGCAAATAAAATTAATGGAACTAAAGATTTTATCTACAGTATTTCGCATCATCTCAAAACTTGCATTCTCAGTTTCGAAAAATACTTTTCAATAGGATTTAAAAATACCCGTTGTCACTGAATTAGCAAAACTCGTTAAGTTAAAAAACTAACTCTCCAACTCAATTCTCTGATCAACTATCAGTCAATTTTCATATCCGTATACCTATAACTATAACAAACAATCCAGAAAAAGACTAAAATATAATGGTGTTGTGGCTTGTTTATAATATATTAGGTGTCACTGTGCACTTCGTTACCCGTAAAAAATGCATTTGTGATAAATTTGATTACCTAATATGTCAACATTAGCGTAACGCTTGTGGATCAAAAACATTTTTGGTTTCATAGTTTTATCTCACAACCGTATGACAAGTATATGGTTAGGTTGTATTAAACCTTTGTTGTGATCGTAAAAGCGTTCAATTTCAAGTCGCATATCTCATTCTTTAAATGTTTCAGCATATCTAAAAGTCGATAGTTGATGTATATGCCTGGCCGATCTTTACATGTTTGATTTTTTTGGTGGTATACTGACATTTTAAATAATTTTCAATATTTAATATTTGTCTGACGCTTTATCTGTCAAGTGAAACGTTAAAAATTAGTTTAATGTGGCACAAATTTCATCCATATTTCCAAAATCTCATCCCAACTTCAATGAACACTAATTTGTTTAAATAATCAATATATTATTTTAGTTTTTTACTTGCATAACCAGGGTAATCCACAAATCAAAAAAAAGCAAAAAAGTTACATATATTTTAATAGGTAGATAAAGAATTTTCTTATTGGGGGAGGGGGTGTGATAGTATGAGGTTATCAAAGGATTTAAACAATTTTAAATCTTCTCCGGACAACGAGGGCCATTTTGGAAAATATCACATAAAAATGCATTCATTTTTATTTAATTTTAATAAATATATAAATGATATATGCAATTATATCTTCTAATCATTAGAATTTAATGGATACTACTATCCAAGGGTTATTTTAAATAATAAAAAAGAATTTACGAGAAAATAGTGATATCTATAAAAATAATAAATATACACGTAATAATAAATTAATATGAATAATATGAATTTTGTGATTCGTCCAGTAATTAAGTTTTGGATAACCAGAAATTAAACGACAAAGCAGTAAGTTTATTTAAATTTATTACTACTTACTTGATATTTAAATATTATACACTATAAAATATTCACTTACCTACCTTGGAATTCATTTTTATAAGAGGACCTAAATATCATTGGAATATTTACTATCTTCATCGTCCATATTAGTACAATTCAATTGATTACAAATATATCAATATATCATGGTCATAACTAATAAGTAATAATAATAAAAACACAGAACGTAAAAGTATAAAAAGGTATAAAATAAATTACGAAACAAAACAATTTATTATTTAATATCCAAAAATGCAGTCAATTTGGATTTATTTATATATATATTTTTTTTCATAAAAATGAAAAGTTTATTTTATTATATTAGTTTAATTTTAGATTAAATATACCTAAATACTAGCACTCATATGGGAAGGCTAGCAATGCATAATATTGAAATCCATTAATGTATTCATCCTTTCTATTTGCATTTTAATATATATTTATTAGCAGCTTGTCAAAGTCAGAGTGAAGTTTCATTTAGGTATATTTAATCTAAAAATTAATACATAAATAATCGAGTTATACCATAACATTTAACTATATAAAGACGTCCAACACTTACAAAAACACTCCATAGGATAATTCTATAATTTATAGTGATTAAGATTTTTTTTAAAGGAGTAACATATTTTCACTATATATTTATTAGGTACTAAATTATTGTTAAATGAGAACAAGAATTAAAGCATATCCATAAAATAAATTTAGTGAGATATAAAAATTAGTAATTTTTGTTATTAAAATTGTTTAAGGAAAAACATAATATGAAGGTTATAATTTAATTTAAACTTTTTTTTCTATCCCTAAAGTAGGTTACACTACGAATACACACTCAACATTGAAATACAAAATAATGATAACATATTATATAATATATATATATAAGTAACATTATTATCATATTTTTAACTTTTTTTGTTTAATATTCACTTGAAGTATTTAACATATTTATTGTCTAATGTTTATCAGAAAACTTATTTACAGACATTTAGTTTTAGCAAATGGTAACAAGCGAAATTTTAATAATTTTTATTTATTTTATATATAATAATAAATAAAGTTATTACGATTAATATATATAAACAACGAATACATAATAATAATGAATTATTTGATAATCAGTAATATCTAAGGGAGTACGGATATAATTTCATTGGGGTGACTATAACCACGATAGAGAAATACGGGACAACAAGTTGAGCTTGAACTTTGTACCAACAGAATACACGTATCCCTTTTATGTGTATTATCTATTTAAAATCACTTAGTGCCAAAGAGAGCGGGAGAAAAGAGTTAAAACGTAACGCGATATAATAAGATTCTCAAAAGTCCAAATAGAGATACTATCTATATACTAATATCTACGGTCGAATCAGGAGAATAAACAAGTTGTTGTGGCCAAACGCACATAAAATTCTCGTCTTAAAACGTGACCAACGAATATAATATATATATACATATTATATCATGATAACAATAATAATTAATAAGTATAATTATAATTATAATAGTAATAGTAGTATTATAGTAGTAGTTAAAGTAATATTAGAAGAACAATACACACCTAAAAACAACAAAACCGAATGGAATTAACGAGTAAAGTGTGTTATAAATACTTATAATATTGATAATTTTTCTTCTGTTTCTATCATTTTATTTATTGTAAGGGGATTAAAATAAATGTAAGTTTTACGACAGCGTCATCTCACAAACACGAGTAAATCGGTTAATACATCATATTATTACAAATATCATTGTAAATATATTATTATAATAATGTGTTAATGTCGTCGGTATACCTGCAGATGATGCGTATTGGAATTTTATAGGCTTGTGGGCGAAATTACATAACATAATACATATTATTATGATGGGTTTTTTTTTTAAACAAGTCTTACGCGGGAGGTGAAGAGTTGGCGTCGCGGTCTGTTTGGTGTCGTAGTCTTCGTCAATGGCAGTAAAGTTGTGATGCTTAGGGCAGCGCCACGACGACTTGTACGTATGTGACCGGGAAGTATCCGGTACGGCCGTTCGTACTGCCTTCAAACCAGTTTTCATCGACCCTGTTTAGTAGTATTATAGTCTCGCCCTCCTGAAAATACATTATCGTTATTATTACGTATGTATTTTTATTAAAGGCGTTAGGTAACTATAGGGGTGTTAGTGATATGTATTAGGCAGTACTCCGAGTTTGTTGGCGAGGAAACTACGGAAGGGGGTTTAACATTTAACCTGAATCCATATAGTAGAAATTATAAAATATATTAATATATTATAGCAAATTGAATACTTTTTTTGGAAAAACATATTGCAAAATAAAATTTGCTATACATAGATAATTATTTATAAATTATATTAAAAAATAGTCTTCTAGAAAAATCATACAGTTCACATAGTTGAGTGGTCTATTAATCATATACAGTTTTTTAATAAAAATATGTAAATTAATTTAGAGTTCATATTAGAAGGAGCAAATTTAAACGACTGCTTGTAACTCTAAAAATATTCTAGAAGCTAGGGGCTATGGATGGAACCAGGAGTAAATTTATGATTACGTATAAGTAAATTTAATTATTATTGTACAGTGTTTACATTAGCCTAGAGCGCAACCATCTTTATCGCAGTGAACCATTACTACTAAAAATGTTATTAGAACATTAAACTAAAATTCTCAATGGAAAAGAGAAGAGAAATGGCTGCATGGGTACAGATAACCATCGCCGTTTGACACTTACTTTAAATCCTAATTCTCCTGGATTCTCGGCCTCAAAATCGTATAACGCGGTACAACAAGGCGAGTTGCGTGGTATTTGCCGTTGAACCGACTTAATTGGAGAAGAAACTGGAGATGCTATAAAAATTAAAAATAACAATTACTGTTAGTGTTGACAGCATAACTTTATTTTATAAATGAATTCAAATAGTAAACAAATAAAAAAATGTCCAACAGAATAATAGAGGCAAATGTATAACAAAATTTAAAATCAACAAAGCAGTAAAAAACATAATAATTATAACATGAATCAATTAGTATTTATAAAAACTAGAAATTCTATACTCAATAGTATAATGAACTAAACAAAAATCCGCAGACTAAATTTTGTTCAAATTAAATATTTGCAAACGTTATAAATAGGTTACATTTATAAGAATTTTACGTATTCGACTTTTAATTTGAAATTTATTTAAAGATCAATAGTACGAGTCGGAGAATTCAAACACCCGGAGTATAGGTATTATTATTAGTTAAAATACTCAATATAAGAAACTGATTTATTTTTGTAGCTAATTAAAAGTAAATACCAATTAAAAATTGTCTACCAAGGTTTTTATATTTAATTTTTGCATTGAACCATTTTCAGCGAACGAGTGAAATTAAGTTTCAACATCAACCTAAATGCATCCACAGTTGTTAAGCGTAATATGATATTGTCGTTTTGCAGAGTCAGAGTAAAAAAAAGTAACTACCTACCAAGTTACTTGCGGTGAAGGTGTATTAAAATATTACAAGTGTCTTCACAGCAGCTGTTAATGTAGTAGTTAGCAACAGTGCTTGATTTGGGGGGGGAGTCCCCCTTCTTTTTTAATTTTTTTTAGCGTACCCCTTCTATTTGCCCCCACGGTAATGTGACGGTTAATTTTGTGTGGAACGCTCGTTTATCAAACATCCGATGAGTCCCCCTTCTATTTTTTTTCTAAATCAAGCACTGGTTAGCAACAATAAGGAGCATAACATGCATTAAACAAGTAACAACAAAAAGTACCATTGTGATGTGGTTGTTGATGCTGGTTATCGTGATGGTTTGCTCCAGACGTTAATTCCAGCGTGTTAGTCTTTGCGTGAGTCGGGGATGAAGCTCGTGAACTACCTAATGTTTTATATTTCGCATTATATAGATAATAGGTAATATAGTTAATAAATATTAATTGTTGATTACGTATATTATACTATAACATAAGCTTTAAAAGAGCAACGGCCACAATATAATATATATATATATATATATATATATATATATATATATATATAAATTATCGACAATTTCAAGCCTGCATACATTTCAAGTTTCAGCAATACTTGAATATAAACCGATAATTCTATGTAATTTAAAGATAATGATTGGTTAATGCGGGTTAGGTAACTTGGTAACAACTCAACAGATATACAATTATTTGTTAGATGATTCAAAAATGTTAATCAAACACCAAGAGTATTAAAAAAAATATTATGTAATCATACCTAAGTCTTATCCTAATAGATAGAATTTATAAATATCTATGTTTAAAAAAAAATTAGGTAGGTACTACGCTAGATCGAAACATTTTAGAAACAATTACATTAAATGGTTTTAGTTGTGTGATTGTTTACAATAAACACAAATCTACAATATTGGTGGTTTTTATTATATTATCATAATTATCTAAGCTACTTTAATTGATAAAAATTTAGCTATAGGTTATACATTTATGAGTTCAAAACTAGTAAGTCTACCATGGACGTCCCCACACATTTTTCTAGGAGTGTCAAAATTAATTTTAAAAATAAATAAAGATTTTTTTTTTATACATTTTATTTATAGTATATTATTATGTTTTGTCATTATTACATTTAGGTATTGTTATACATTTTATTTATAGAATACTATTATTTTTCGTCATTATTACATTGAATTATTACAATTAGGTAACAAATTTAAAATTATAGGGGGGTGGGCAAGTACCCCCGCCTTGCCCCCCTGGGGACGCCCATGAAGTCTACTAAAATAAAAACATCAACGTAAAATTGTACACATTTATAACAAGTCAATAAAAAACTGCAATAACAATAATAATATAACTGTAATTATGTATTATTTGTAATAAAACCTAGGATCTATATATTTTATATTATTATGTTATAATAATTAATAACTAATAGATTATGTAAAAAACACATCTTCATGGACTGCCTATCATATAAAAAAACAAAACTGAAGTTCAACATTTATTCAAACCCATATAAAGTCATATGATCAGATATCTCTAAAGACCTCATTTTCACTCTCAAAGATACCTGATTTTATAAATAAATTAAAGTTATAATTAGATAATCCACCCTTTTTTTATATAATAGGTATACATATCACCTAAAAATGTGTAATTTATTATTTGAGTATTTAGACGTTTAATAAATATATATATAAACTAATGACTTTAATGCTGAAGTTATATGTGATCAATAAAAAATAAATAAACGAATATATTTTGAAAAAAACTATTAGCTAGGGTACTTTATCTATATGTACGAAACTAAATATACGATTGTATTACATGTTAATAATTAATACAATTTAATAAAATAATAATGATATATTATTTATTGAAGTTCAAAGTTCAAATCAAACTATTAAATAGTATGTATTTGTTATTACGTATTATAAATGGTTGGTATTAAACTAGTTGTTTTGGTTTTTACCTTTGACGTGTGCGAGCTGTGGTTCCATCAACTCGTACTCGTCTGAAAAAACCGTTATACTATGTATATTATAATGAAATTAATAAGCCTAGAAAAAAAGTATTACAAAATATCAAAATTTCACTTCCTAAACCATGTACACCGATCTATAACCTACAAGAAAGTATGAATTATCACTGTTTTCATATTAACCATTTCATTGGTGAGGCGGGCTTACGAGTGTAAATATATGTATATATATATATACATAAATAATATATTATTATAATGGTATTTCTCAACATCTACATGACCATTGCATTATTTTGTTTGAATTAATTATAATATATATAATTAATTATTATATATATATATTAAAATGTACAAATAATTACCATTAATGTCGTCTGCGATAACATCCACTGGATGTAGATCATTCAAAGTCTTAGGCACAAATTCTAGTTTTGGGCGGCTGGCAGCTTGATCGCGCCTACAATATCGAAAAACGACAATTAAATGATTCTACAATCTACACATAATCTTCGTAACATTTTGTCCGCAAAAAATTATGTACAATAAAAAATTTTCATATTTTTATCATATATACAGTAAATATAGGTACCTACTAGCACTTTTAAAATATCAATGAATATATTTTATATTTCAAATTTTCATATTTTATATTTTATATTGTGTGAACACACATAAATTATTTAATTTTAATTTCTGTGTTCTAAAGCAAAAATGTCCATAACTTATTTCGCGCATATTTATAACCCAATTTTATAGGTAACTGTTATATTATGGTCATAATATTTTGCGGACATGCAAAGTATCGTGGACAAAATAATGTGAATAAAAGTTTGGAAACCAATGAAATTGCTGTTTAAAACCATTCTATATTACATTTCGGTGATATTAAATTGAGTCCATGCTACTTTTATGTGTTTGAATTTAGTCTAGCTTATTATCTTAATATCTTCGAATTGAGTCCGTAAAGGTAAAATGTCATAACTATCTACATAGCCGGTGACGAATTTTTAATATTTTGTTATATTTTCACACTTGAAATTTTCAAAATTAATATTTTTAATATTTAAATTATAATAAAATTTTCAACAAATTTTAACTCTTTTTGAAATATTTACAGGTATAACAAATTTTCAATCTTTTTTATTATTTTTCTATTACTGTCGATAAAAAACATTCTTTAAGTAAAAAATACCTTTATTTATTATTACTTTTAAAATTTTTAATTAATTGATTCTTTATACTTATTATTACAATTAAAAAAAGGGACTCAACTCGAATAATCAAAAGTATTTGCGGGACTATACGTTATCTATACATTTAAACATACTTTTCCTGGATTTCCATAACTGCCAATTTTAGAATTTCGGTACACTGTTGATGGTATTCAAGAAGACCTTCTGCAAATGTGGTTAACTGAGATATTTGTTCTATCTAAAATACGACAATCGTCGTAAAGGAATTCAATTACTATCATATCATATTTTTTAAAAATGTATTAGAGTTTAAAATAAACTACGTGTCAAAGTTGAAAATTGTAGCGGTGCATTAAATAACTTAAATAATCAAATAGTTTTAAACGTACGTCGTTGTCGAGTAAGTTAAACATTCCTATCTGAGCGCTATGCAACGATTCTGCAAATTTTTCTTCGGCTTGTTTTAGTTCCTCGTCACTAACATGTGAACCTAAATAAAAATAAATTTAAATTGTTTTTTGTTATCAATGTTACTTACAGATACGAAAAATAATAAATTTAAACGTCACCTTTTGCTTGTTTTCTACGTTTGCAGTCGTAATCTAGTCTCCTTCCTTGCAGTTTCTTTCTATGGTGCTAAACAAAATAATTAAAATGACATAATTATGATTATCGTTAATAATTATTTTTTCTTATATACCATCACTTCTTTTAAATCTTTGGTTTGTAAATGATGTAATGGTTCAAGAAAGTTTTGTTTGGTATTGTCGTCTAGTGCGTACTTTACGTCGGCCATTTGCTTAAGCGCTTCTCCCATTTCCTGCAGTGCTTGGCCAAATAGACTGTCATCGCCAAGCTTCTTACCATACATAAGTAAACAATCGCCAAGGGTACCTTCGGCTTGTGGATATGTAGAGGCTTTTGCCTGACCACTGAGTTTCGATATACCCTTGACGGCTGCCATTTTAGCTCTAGCTGTAGGATTTGGCTGCAGGAATTCTTTGGTTTTCATTTGAAGTTCTTCAACCAACTCATAAGTAACGTCAGTTTTCTAAAATATAGTTGATTATTAGATATTGTCCAATTTATTTACAATATAATTTACGTGCAGTACAGATAAAATAGTATAAAAATTTACCCTTTCCATATCCACAAAATCCACATCAAGCTTTGTTCCTTCGACCCCGCCAATTTTCTCAGTCATGTACTGTAAATAATAATATATAAGTTATAGTATGGTTATTTAACCATATTTAACAAATTAATAAAATAAGTACATGTTTATTGAAGAGTTTGAATTTCTATAATATACTAAGCGTAATTAATACAATTTGTATTAATTACGTAATTATTTATCTAGGTAAATAATTTATTAATTTATTCTTTGAGGTAAACGCCAACCAAAACTTGTTATTACATATTTAGCGTATGATCATAAAGATAAATGTAAAAATAATATCATATTCACCGATACTATTTAAGTGTGATTTAATTTTCTAGATTGCATAGCTACTTTTATATTTATAATTAACTTATTATTATATTATAAATATACTAAGAAACTTAAAGATAAATCATATATATATATAATTATTTTTAATAACTAATTGTTTTTATACCTAAATTTAGGCCATATACCTATGACAGATTTTTAAAAGGAATTTTGTATAATAGATCATTTGATTTAAAATTCATTAACATATCGTATTATTAATAATGTCCATTGTTCGGACATTTAAATAATTTTTTTTATTAAAATAAATTATCTACTTAAACGTTGCAAATATAATTATTTTTTTTTTTGTCTTTACATCTTTTTTTCTTTATAAAATCTTTTTTTTTATATAAATACTCTTTAAAGTACTCATGTAAATCGCCAACTTTTAAGGGATACATCTTGTTTTAGTTAAACTGATGTGCTCGAAAAATAACGTTAATTATTTAATTGTTCAAATAACTATAAAATAAGTTTATAATAATAATAATAATAATAGTGACGATTTATATTAAAATATATTTCATTTATTTCTTAAATAGATTGGTATAATGAATTAACCAAAAAAATAGTCATATGAATAATGCATATTTCTCATTATATAGCTTGTCTTTTATTAATAATTTTATAATTATAAGGAGGTGACGACGGATGTATAAGATATACCAACAGATAAGAATTGCACGACCAACCCCCTCTCTCTCAACCATCGTCAATATCGTCAGAACTACACCACTTCCACGCCGGCCACGCGCGGGTATACAGAGCTTTGTTAATCAATAAAATGCTTTCGACTCCCAACCCGACGCACACACATACGCTCGTACGTATTATACGCATGCACACTAATGTAACAACACTCCCTTGGCCTCATTTAAAATTTTTCTTCTCAGTCTACCAACGCAAACAGGAAAATTAGGTCTATTTTAGTACATGAATGCATATTATATGATATCAAAGCAAATTTAAAAAATAAAACAAATTTAAACAGCGAACAAACCAAAAATCATTATAAAATAATATATTTTAATATCTTAGTACTTCCTAATGTATATATATATATTAAAAAATTATATTTACGTTTCTGTGTTTGTTGTTACTAAAGCAACACACAATATCAACACACAAACAACGATTAATCAAATATAAATTAAAATACAAAAAGTTAATATTATTAAATGTATTTGTAGGCCAGCGATCGTACAAACCTAACCGTCTATTTTTTTCTCAAAATTTTTATCTTTAGTAAATTAATTTACAACAAATATTTAAACAGAAGCAAATGTATATTTATAAAAGTATGCAAATCGTTTGTTACGATTACAAGAAACAAATAATATAGTCATAATTCTAATGAGGACATTATCGGACGACATGCATAATTTTCTAAATTAATTTATTAATATAAACTACCAAAATAGACACATTATTACACAAAATAATTACTTAAAACACTAGTTACAGTTTATTCAATTAATCATCTTTTAATATACAAAAGACATGTGCTAAATTCATGATAAAATTTGACTAAAAAAACACACACATATAATACATCTTGTCAAAAACATAACTACAAGAGTAAACGACAGCAGTTTTACGTTAATTCATCTAAATAATTTATTAAACGTTCATAATTTAACTATAATAGTTAACTAAGCTACATTAAAATCAACTAAAAAACTTAAATCACAAAAGGGCGTTACCGAAAAATAAAAATTTTTATTTAAATAAAATATATTTCTCAAAAACAATATTTAATATAAAAGAACGCACTAATATTGCATACATAATGCGCCGTCACCAGAAAAAAATCACACAAATTATTGATAAACTATAATTTATAATATTATCTAATACTCAATTAAAAAAGTGAATTTAAAAATAAATTCATCTAACTTAAATTATGAAAATAAATGATTAACTCATTTATTTTGATGAAATAGTTATAAATCGTGAAATATTATAAACTCTTATAATAGATAACACATATTTTTATTTTTATTATTTTTTGTTTTTGTAAACTATATATACAAAAAGAAAATAATTTTTATTTACATAAATTACAGATTAAATAATAATAAAATTTGTATTTACCTGATTAGCTTTATTAATTTGCTTTTTGAGGCCAGCAAACGCCATTTTAGTAGCTTTTTGTTCAACTCGTATATTAAAAACCTACCTGAAACCAATAAATAAAAAAAATTACTAAAAAATCGTATACTGCATACAGCTTTTCAAAAATTAACAATGCATAATAATTATTATAATAAATTTATATATTTATAATTAAAATCGATGTTTTATGTCAATATTAAATTGCAAAAAAATCTCTGAAAAATACGCTATATATCGACGCTATCACAAAAATGTTTATCGTATAATAACGAAAATATAAAATGATAATTATGTGTACGATCTTTCAATAATTTTTACTGATTTTACCAAAAATATTAGACGGGACTATCTGAATGTGGTGCGTCTCGTACGTACTTGACTTCCGGTGACACTAGCGCGAGACTAATACAGCGATCGCAAAGCTCGATGACTTTTTTTCGCCGTTCATCTCGCGCATCGTCACACACACCACGGCGTACCGGCGACGGCGCTTGCGCTCAACTCCCCGGCAGCCCAACGTTATAATATTATATTAACGGTGCGCACACGCAAAATATATATCAGTACTATAATATAATATTGTTTGGCCCTCCGCTTTACGTACGTAGAAACATGTACGGGGTTTTTTTTTTTTTTTTTTTTTTTATTTTTTGTCCATTTAACGTTATAATTATATTGTTACGAAGAATACCCAAAACGCATGTACTCCATATAAAAATATAAAATTTATAAAAATATATTTATTATACTCGATGGGAAAACATATTATAATACACATTACCGGCAAAACACACATTTTATTTATTTCATTTTTTTTTTTTTTTAATATGAAGGTACACACGTCATACTGACATACTACAGCTGAGTACAACATACTCATTGTACTCAACTAGCAGTGTATGTTCGTTTTGTCAGTAATAGTTATGGAAGATACACATGTCGAATGACACATAAAATCAAATTACATTATTATCAAATACATAGCCTATTGGCATTTGGACACTTCTAACATTTATGATTTATTTCAGTCCCCAGGGATTCTCATTGTATATAAGTGTGATAAATTCATAAAATTATAATGACTCAGACAGGTTGTAGTTAATACAGTAATACACTAGTCAGGACAGATCGAAACGATAGTAATAAGTATTCATCCATTTTCACGTACTTATTTTTTCTATTATCGTAAAATACATTATACCGATATAAATTATGTTAAATTGCCAATAATCGTATTTCTAAAATAAACATTTTTTTTTTTTTTTTATAAGATTTAAATTCAAAGCAAAAAAAATAACTTTTTTAAGTTTTTTGACAAATTATACAATTTCAACTCTTAAACAAAAAATTTTCTGTATTATTTTAATTAAAAAATACTATTCGCATTTATTTTAATCATGATTATAAAATAACAGAAAATCACAACATGATTATTGAAATGACAATTTAATTTTATATACGACTTTTTAAATTAGTAAAAAAAAATTAAAAATAATCATATTTTTTTGGTGTATTTCTTGAAAGCAAAAAAAATTATAAAGCGATTATCGCATTAAACTTTTAAAACGATTCTCTATTGTTGAATTCAAAATTTGAATTCAAATTAAATGTGTTAAATTTAATGTAACACATCTAAATTAAAATAATCTAATCAGTGGTGGATATACTTAATATCTACTATATAGCAGAGTAACTTTACCAATTTCTTTATTAAATAAACGTTTATTCTAAAAATAATTTTTCATTGAATTTTTTTATGAAAATAAAGTAAAAACAGTCGATTGCTGAATCCATATCAAAAGGAAAAATTTTTACAAGAAAAATTACTATCGATAATTTGTTAAATATTTTATAATTACAATTCTTTGTTATTAATATGTTAGATATAAACTAATATAATTATGTAACAAATAATATGTCAATCAATTAATTAATAATTAAATTTATACAAAGTTTAATAATAAAAATTAGTATAGGTAGGTACAATAAATAAACGAAAAATAAGCAGTATTAATTTAATGTTTAATTGAAAACTAGTAAATATGTTAGGAAAATCATTAAAAAATATAATTAATGCATCAAGCAAATAATAAGATGAAAAATAAGAACTCATTCATTTCTCCAATTAAATTTAGTAAAAATAATTTATTTATGTTTAAAGGAATATAATTATAATTACATGATATACACTTGTATCATTCCATTGTTATCGTTAAAACATGCGTATTAACATAATCCACTTAAAAACTAAAAACTAAATCATAAATGATATTAACACGAATATTTTTCTATATTGAAAAAAAAAATAATAACTACGAAAAATATCATAATTTATTTGAATTGTATAAATGTAAAATATAAGCGGAGTGTTACGATAATCTTTGAGAAGAGATCCAACGTATTACTACAGTACTATAGTACCAACAACAATTTTTAAATATCATGAGTGTCAAAAAATGTGCTTACATTATATTCACTTAAAGTAATTAACATGTTTAAATTTATAAATATAGGAATATAGCTAGTATAATGATTTAACAGAGGATAAAATAAGTACCAAGAAACCTCTTGTTTTCTCGGGTAGTAAGTGTTATAATTAGAGCTAGAATTTTGTTGACTTTTGTATTTTTTCTTTAAGTGCTACAAAAACTAAATTTATTTCGTTATATGAAAAGTTAGAATGTATAATTTTTATTTTGCCTATTTTATGTTAAATGCATTTTACTGAATTTTTAAGGTCATTTTTACAAATATTACGTTTTATATTAACTCATTTTTGTTTACGAGTATTCTAAGCTTTTTTTTAATAAGTGTTGTATAGGTAATCTCAATTACTTACTCCAGTCCATTGATATTGAAAAGGTAATATAATTAATTCTCAACTAAAATTTGAATTTATTTATTTAATTTACTTCTTAAAACAAATGTTTACCTATTTTTAGTATTTTGTATAATATAAAAATAAATGAATAAATAATAATTATTTTGAAATTAAATTTTATTCGCTCATCTAAGTACCTTTTTTCGTCATTTTTTAAGTTCATTTTTTTAGAGTTTTTAGAGTTTTTTTAGTGCATTTTTTAGGTCATAAAAATCCTAGTTCTAATCATAAACTTATTTTAAATTCCAAAATGAAATCAAAAATTATTGCATTAAAAAAAAGTTTTAAAAGAGATCAGAAAAAAGTCAACATTTTTAAAAAAATGAGTGAGGTAGCTTATATATTATCACCAAGGCTTTATTAATTTGAGTACTAAATAAAAAAATTAATTATCTAAAACAGAAATTCTTAAATTGCGGTTCGCTACCTCCCAGGAGTCCGCGAAACTCATGTTGGAGTCCACAGAAGCTCTACCGGTGGTTACAACTTGGACGTAAGATGTTTTATAAAAACAAAAAAACAGAGTATTCGAAAAAAATTGAGATAGTCAGTGATTTATAAAAGTTTTTCATAGTTTTATAAAAGTTTAAGAACCACTGATCTAAACTACAATCTGTAATCAAATCCAAATTGATTAATGAAACAATACAAATTTGGATCACTAACAGAACACGTTTTTATTCTTATTGCATAAAAAATAGTATAAGTATCTAAATGTTACTGGAAAACATGAAAACCTTTTACAGCACTTTATGTCAAAAATCTTAGATTATATACCCCAGTTTAATTGTCAGATTTTATTAATTCAATTTTTTACCATATTATTAATTACACCTAAAGTTAAAAATGAATAATTTATTAATGTTTATCATAAATGCATAAACACATACATTTTTCCTGATATAATTTTTTCATTATATCTATAACATAAAATAAAAAATAGTTTTCGTGTTTTATCAACATATTATGATTTATCAACGTTCTTAAATAATAATTATACAAATTAAAATGATAAGAAAAAACAGGAAATAACTAAAAAATAACCTTAAAATATTATTATTATAAAATAACTTGAAAGTAGAAAAATTTTGAACGAAAAGAAAAATAGTAATGTTTTAATCATGGCGTGTTTTAAAATTAATTTTCATTATTAAGTATGTTCCGAAATTTTAAGCCTAAACTTTAAATAAATTAATAGAAAATATTTATCAATTGAAATTTTGGAGAAGTAGTTTGGTGATTTAAAAATTTGTTTAAACATAAAACAAGATTAAAAAGGTCAAATTTATGAAACATTCGTTTTAAGAACAAAATTAACTGTAGTTACTTTGCTGTAATTTAGAAACTAAAAGTCGAAAGGACAATAGTAGAAATTAGATAAGTCACATATAAATAACTTAAAATTAGTAAATTCGATAAACTTTCTAACAAAATGATAAAATTTAATAATGTTCATATGCCCATAGAAAATTGGAATAGTATAACATTTTTAATATAGCTATTGATGATATAGGCACTGAAAATTAAAATTTTATTTTACTTTGAAAACTTCGTATACTAGACCTAAATAAATCTATGGATTATGAAAACTATATAAAAAAATTAATTCTTAAATTTAATAATATATAATGTATGAATACATAAATAACATTAATGTAATTTTGTTTAACCCTTTCTCCGTAAGAAACATTTTATAAATTTATTTATCGACGTGTTGTGTTTACGTGAATCGTGTATAATATGTATTAGAGAATATTGTATTACAAACTATATATAAAGGTTATAAATTATAGTATATAAGTATATTAAAATCAACGAAAACAGTACTCACAGTTTTTTGATATTTAAGAGGCGATCGAATAGACTCTATAAAAACATAACTCACGGAGTTATCGACCACATAGCCATAGAATTAGCCTAAAAATCAACATATAATGAAAGTTTTTCACCAATTTATAATTAATAGTGAATCCGGTTAACAGAATTAATTTTTTATATAAAATAATTTGTGAAAATATAATTTAACCCAAACAGTGCAATAGTGTAATAGGTACTGATAACCGAAACTCGTTGACCACTACCAGCCAGGCGACAGCAGCTGATACGTAAATTGATACCGTATAAGCGTTACCAACTGTTTAAAAATATTTGCTGTTATTAAAACTATAATATTTTTAAACTTAAATATTAAGAACCCATGTTTCCCTCTTATTATTTTATTTTTGAATTTTGATTTATTTAGAAAGATGTGACTAAAATATAAAATATCAATTTGTAAAAAAATAAAAAAACTTACAACATAAAATAACTAATAAATATTACAATTTATTATAACAAGAGTACTGAACTTCGTTGAATGAGTACAAGATTGTATATTAATTAAAGACAATAATCTAGCATTCGTTTTTTTTTTTTTTGTCTTATTTTTAGTAATATTAAATTATTGTAGCTTAAATTAAAATGAGAAATCAGTGAAATTTTAAGCAATGATATCATGTGTAAAATGTGATATAGATTTATGATATTATAATTTGAAACAATTCAAAAATAACTGCATTAGTATTAAGTTATTTAAATTAATTCAAACATAAATCGTTGATATTTTTAGAATAATAAGTTTCACGAAAATAAATAATAACTACAACAACATACGCAGTAAAACAACTATTAATATTATACAATCTTATAAATCATAAGACATTAGATGAGTAGCAACACACTTAAAATTTTATCACGGACGTTCGTACTTTAAAGAAACTAAGTAAAATGTTGTTTTAATTTTCATCATTGAGTTTTTAATCATTTATTATTATTCAAAATACTGTTTAAATACTTTATAATTATTTTGTAAGCCCATGGTAAAAAGTAATTTCAAATATACCAAGGGTAGGTCAAAAAAATATCAAAAATACATTCTTTAATATATATTATTCAAAACCTAATTGACTATCGAATGAATTATAAATTAGGATATTAATTATAATTTATAACACAGAACTTATTAAATTAGCTAGGTAATAGGTATATATAATATATTGATAGAGTAACATAGGTAAATATATTAAAAACAGGAATCAGAATATTACATTTATTGGCTATTACCTATAAAAATACAAAAAACAACAAATTATTATTTTAATATAAAATCAATAATTATTTTTTCTTTTAGTCGACTTTTTATCGGCAATTAATAGATATAATAAATTTAAATTATTTTATACACATCTATCACATCTCATAATTTTAACAAAACAGTTAATAAACTTTAAACGGTTTGACCGTTAAATGTCATGATTTATCTATTCAAATGCCACCAAATACCAATCATAAACCATATTAACAATAGGCAATAAGTACCTATAATAACAAAGAATCATCAGTCATTAGAGTATCAGCGAATAATATTATTTTAAAACACAATGCAGCTAGTCGACCATTGTTTACTCAATGAGCAATGTGTAATTACATAAATATATATTAGATACTGCATAAGTCAAAATTATCTCTAAAAAATATAATTGTAATTAATGATATATAAAAAGAGGGGGTATCCCAAGTGCGTCTGATTTTTAATTTTTACCTTTTTCATAGCCCGAGTGCGCCTGTAATCTTATTGACAAATTATATTGAATAGCCCAAGTGCGTTCTCAGTCCACATGCAAAAAAATTGCATGCATCGAAGACAATATATCAATTTAAAATAATAAAATATCAATGCTAAATTTTATTAAAATAATAGCTTTAAACATCAACCTATATAGTTTTAAGGTGATATAGTTGAGGGAATAAAGCCAAAGCGTTCTCAGAATGGACCAAGCACATCCAACCTTTCATTCTTTAGCTTTAGATACATATCTGCCGGCTATAATTTAATAATTTATATTGATTAAATAAGGAGTTAATATACCCAATAAAAAACATAAGTGATACATATAATTTTGTATATTTTATTATGTAAAAATAATTTATTGACTTTTAATAGGATTATAATTAAACAAAATGAACCTTATATGTTTATATGTTAACGAGATACCAAAAGAAAATAGGTACTCAGATATTATATCTGCATAAAATAGACAAATTAATTTTTTTTTTAAAAGATTGTAACCATTATCCGTAATATATATAAATGATGATATAATATTTACAAATAGGATATATTATCTAAAATAATAATCTAAACTCATATTATATAAATTTACAAGTGTATTTCTTTAATAAAGAAAAAATACAAGTCTTATTATTATAATGTATGATTATTTATATTCAAGAGAACTACGATTCCTTTTTAGCTATCAAAAAATGTTTTAACCTATCTTAACACTTGTAACTACATGATGATGAATAATGAATAATGAGTATAATAATGAATTTAGATATTATCTATGTCCATAGTATTTTTTTTAGGAATTATAGGCAACACTGGTTAAACAAGAAACTTTAAAAATTGTTTTTATACAATAATTATAAAAGAAACAGTTCTCATCCGTAATTTTAATAGTGACTATCTTATAATATTGTATAATATCTGTGATTTTTTTTTTTATAAAGATAAATTCATCTCACATATAATATTTATGGACGCAAGGACGTTGTTTTTAACTTTTTGATAGGACTGCCAAAATTTTTTACAGACACGATGAATAATATAGATAGGTACATTATTTTAGTTTTAAACTAAACCAAATCATGTTTGTATTATTCTTTTGATTTATTTATGTTCAAACGCAAAATATTTAAAAAAATTAAAATGCTTGTAATTTTGTATTAATGCTGTATTATGTAATGCACTATAACCTCTCTAAAATGACCAGTATTTAACCCTCCAGCCTCTTTTCACGATTGTATGCTTATATTTCCACTTCTACAACGCTATGTCTAATTCAACACCTCTGTATTGAGGTGGAAATATAGAGGGTGCCAAAATGCAAAATGTGCCCCCGTTATCTAAATACATATATATACTTTTTTATGTAGATGTAGTATGCATTGTACGATTACCCAATTCGTTTTGATCAATAATTTCATAGAGTAATTTTATTGTTCAAATATTAGCGCATTTTACACATGGGTATTGTTATTACAGCGAGGTTTCTGTGGAAAAAACTAAGAGACTCATCAGTTCTTAAGGTATTATACGCGCTCATCGATTAGAATATTAGATCATGTATCCATGAAAACTGGTCATTAAAAATAAACATATATTTTTTCAAAAATTTTAATGCACCTTTTATAGTAATTAGTTTTTATTTTATTATTATGTTTCGGTAGGTACCCGTAAAATAAGAATTAAAAAATATAGACTTAAATTCTTACTAAAAATATTATTACATAAAATAGTAGGATTTAAAAAGGTAAAAATACAAAGTGCTAAGTATAGAAATCTGTAATAATTAATTTATATACTAAAATAATAGAAACAATAGTTGCAAAAGCATTTTTATCGTGTATTTACGACACATATTCATAGGTAGGTACCTATAATAATAATTAGGTAATTCATTAATTTAATTTGAATGCACCTATTTTAGTATATTTAAAATAAATATAGTAACTTGTTTGTCTCATGTTCTCATTTCGTATTACCTAAATAACTTCAACGAAAACTCGAAATCACTTAAAAAATTGATTCATTCAACATTATATACTATTATATACCTACCAAAAATAAAAATCTAATCCTAAAAGTACGTTTTTTTTTTGAAAATTAAGATTTAACTAAGAATTAATTAGGTTTAACTGTATTATTAATTTTAATTTTTTATTTCATGCAATAATTACTTATGCCAATATATAAGAACTTGTTTTCTTAATTACTTACAGCATTGATTATAAAATAAACTATTTTGTCTATTCTATAATAGTAAATACTTATTTAGTTTATGCAATTAGAAAATTATTAATTAATTGTAGTTTATAGTTTTTATATAGGTGCGGCCGTGCAGGTTTATACCTACTAAATAGTAGACTTATATAAACTTAAAATAAAATATTATTTATTCGTGTAAATTAATTAATTAAATTACCTCATATCTATATAAGGGTTCAATATTGTTATCATTAATTATATTATTTAGAGTATTTGTATAATATTTTTACTTTGTTGTCAAATGCAATTAAAATAACATACATCAAAATAACTAAGTTTAAGTATACTTAAAATAATTCAGCTAATTATGAGTTATTTATTGAAGTCCGTAATTTGATAAAGCTTATGTGATACGAGGTGCCGAGGTATATATTGAGATATACTTATATAATTATATGTGATACCAGTAGGTATACCACCATTGGTTATTTCAAAAAATAATTAAATAAGAAATTTGATTTAAATTTTTAAACATAATTGTTTTATATTTATGTTACTTTAAATAATTCAAGTACTACTAGTTGATACATTAGTTTTTATCGATTGCGAATTACTTATTAGAACTTTAATGTTTTTTATTGAAAAATTTATCAGGATATTAATAAATAAATGTGATCGATGAATACATGATGTAAATGAATAATGAGTAGCAAAACCTGAGGTTCAACTTGAAATGTCTCAATTTCAATATTACTTATAATAATATTATTTTAGTTACCTATGTAAATGCACTTAAAATTAGAGTATATAAACGTAAACCTTAAAAAAAATAAGAATACTCAAATTTAAAAAACATAATTTAAAACATTTCAAAATAAAGGAAAAGTTGTACAATAAAAATATTGTGAAAGATAGCGCTTTCAAATAAATTAACATAATATTTATATTACCTACTAAGAATTAACAAATTAAAAATGTACCTAAACAGTAAATAGATGGGCAACAACATTGTTGGTAAACTTAGTTCTAATAGTATGGTAATTTAATCCTAGGTCTTAGAATGTGAGCAGTTAGATAAATGCAATCATAAAACCATCCTAGTTGAACCATAATTCAATTAAATTATTATGCCTTCCCCTCCCAAGCATAAAATATATGTATTTTTTTTAATTTTAAAAACAAATACTTGATTATACTCTGTTTTAATTTAGGAATTATCGAATTTTTCTGACGGATTAATTACAACACCTATTTTTAACACCATTCTCGGATAGGCCTAATTTTTAAAGATAATTTTGATGAATCAACCATGGCTTTAAATTAAACATTGACTGAATAAAAGCCATTTCAATTTTAATAAATAATACACCTTTACGATTCCTTAAGTGCATAAAAACCATTTATCGTAATTATTTGTTGTTGGTAATTTTTTGATTATTTTTTTTTTTTTTTTTATATATATACGTGTTAATAAACAAGTTTAACACAAATGGGTAAAAATTTATTAATTAAATATTGATTACAACTATTATTTTATAATTATATAAATAATTAAAAAAATTATTCAAAGTTTGCTCTGTTATTTACGACGCATAATTTAAAACATTATAGACATCCTTTATTGGTTGCTAACAATCTGATATTATTTGATTTTCAGTGAGGTTATTAGTTATTATATGCAACAATGATTTTTTTTTTAATTTGCTAGATTAATTAGTGAATCATTGTAGAGTAATATTTTTAAATATTCCCATAAACAAAAAATACGTAAAAATATTCAAGAAGTAACCAATAATGAATAATAATTATTATAAACGGTTTTTATGCACTTAAATGAATCTTAAAAATGTATTATTTATTAAAATTGAAATGGCCTTTATAGTTTTATTTAGTTGATTTTCGATTTGAAACTATAGTTGATATATAAAAATTAGACCTATAGTACGGTGTTCAAAATAGGTGTTGCTAAAAAAAAAAATTTTTTTTTTGGCGCATGCTCATGCCGAAATGATAACAATTTTGAAATGTAGCAATAAATGTTTATTTATAATACCACTTACTTGTAAAAAACAATTCGATTTATTCCATTAAAATCCGACCGAGAAATTCAGTGTTTCCTAAATCGATAGGTAAGCACACAGTCTAATATATTATATATTTATATGTTTACATATTTCAATAATAAATACCTACAAATGTAAGTTTTTATATTAGATACAACAAAATCTATTCCCAACATATAACTAAATTAAATGCAGTACTTGAATAAGGGGAATGCGTGGGGACAAAATGAGCGCAGCTTTCATGTGAGCAAAAACTCAAAATAACATATCGTTTGAACAATGTTTTTCTTCCCATTTTTAAAGACTTAGGATTCTCAGTTAACTGATATGATTAAAAACTTATTCATTCAAGTTACAAAATGAATGATGTTTTCCAAAGTATATATCTTAATACTTATAAAACTATACAAATATATATAAAACAAAAATTCATTATATATTATACATATGATACACATATAGTTTTACGTTGTCTATAGAATCTAAAAACATTTTAAATTTAATATTTGAATAACACTGCCACTGACTTTTCCTGCATTCATTTATCTGAAAAATCTTTCACAAAAAATACCTTTTCAATCAGAGTTGGTATAACTCCTTTATATGGTCTAAAATAGGTACTTTGTTCTTCATATGTACAACATAAATTATTAAAATTGTTATCTTTTGAGTATTTTATTTTTTTAAATTCAAACTTCTCAATCTTTTAAGTGCTTTAATAAAGATGATACAGTTATTTATAAGTATTTAACTATAGAAAATAGTCAACTTTTCATAGCTACTTCTTCAAAAAATAATGGATATAGAAGAGTTTTTCTGTTTCAACAGTATAGCATTAAATATTATTTCTTACCCATCCTACAACATCATTATTTTATTACATTATAAATTAATTTTATTATTTAAGTTTCAAAAAATTTTTTTTCATCAATACATCATATATTGGATATTTTTTCTAGTGGCCTAAAATGACAAAAGTTTAAGGAATTTACACATTATATATTATTTTAATAACTATTAAGATACACAATGTTTTCAGAAACATGGTGTACTGAATAAAAAATTTAATTAATAGGATACATTTAATATATTAACTCAGACAAAATAACTGTGTTATAAAAGAAATCTTGGACTGAAATCATATTATAGTAGTTATTTATTCAATGCATTTTTTATATCTGTAATTTATATGGATTGTTTAACTGTTTGTAATTTATATTTAGTCCTATTAAACTACATTTATTTTTATACAAAAGTTAAATTTAATAACTTTGTAATAAATACCTTATATTTTTACTTGGTATTACGGAAACTTTTCACTACGACTAGACTAAGCAAACCATAAAAAAAAAAAAAAATTAAAAGTAATATTTAGTTTGTATATATATAATTTTAACACTATGGTTGTAAAGTAACTTAACTAAATATTGAAATCTAAAATATTAAGGTTAACAGTATATTCACAAGAAATTCACAGTAAAAAAAAAAATTATATATATATAATAATAAAATAAAATAAACAATAGAATATTAGAAATTTTGTCTGGAAAATATCTATACAAACCTATGTGTACTAGTGTACACATATTATACAAATTAAAAACAAGTAAACAACAAATTAATACAATTATATTAAAAGAATTTTTTTTTATATGTATAAATAAGTGCGCATATTATGTGTCTATAGAGGTTTTAAAACTAACAAAATGTCATGTCGATAAATGAAAGTAAAATAATAATGATAGACTTAAATCTGTTTCTAATCTTTTTTCATAAATAGGTCACGTTAATGGTTCTCTTGTGGTGTTAGGCAACAAGAGGCACAAAAGTCCTCCACCTAGAAAAAAATAAAAAATAATTTTTATGACTCATACTTAGTAAGTATTATTAATATAAAATTATAACATACCTATTAGGAGCACAGCTACAATGTAAGTAGGTAAGGGACAATATAGATCAAGAAGCGCAGCGATAACAATATTTCCAATAATACCTCCAAGTCTGGCGGCTACCATTGATATGGCCATTCCCGTAGCTCTATCAATAATAAAAAATTAAAATTAAATATTTTAGATTCTAAGTTTGTGCATCAATAACAAATTTTATTACAATCATTTATTATAGATTACCTTAAATTTGTAGGAAAAATTTCTGTAATCAAACAATCTAAAGCAGCATTACCACAACTAATAGCACTACTAAAAATAGCAGATACTATTAAATTCTGTCTTTTACTTGTAATTAGTGACAAACCAACAGCACATATTCCAGATGCCATTGTACTGAATACTGAATAAAAAAAATAATTGACAAATTTTCTTAATACAGGGTTTAACAGTGAAACAAGTAAATTTGTAATGAGAATGATAGCTAGTAAGGTCTTGGGTCTATCGTTATCATTAAAGCCTATCTATTTAATAAGAATAAATCATTGAACAGGTGAACCCAGCTTTGTAGTTAAAGAAAAGTTTTTAGAACAGGAATATCATTAGACCCCATCACTTAACTGTTTTAAAGAATAGCTTGCATTTTTTTTTATGAACATACCTATTTAAAAATGTGTCTGGGCACCTATACTTTTAACTGTGATGGGACGGAATTGAATAAATCTTATTATTAATATTATGCTGCAAGAGATCTTAAAAAATTTCCAATTACGACTCAAGAATGCATATATCTCAATGGAGGTTGTTTTTTTTATATTGAATACCAAATAGCTACTCTTATACTTAATATGTAGATAAAATGATAAAATAATAAATTCATTCTTTAAAAAATAATTAAGTTTTGAAATCATCCCATTTCACTGTTGAAACCCTTCATGTAATATAATAGATATTTGATAGTTATATCTTACCTAAAAAGAATTTTCTGCCTAATGTATCCATTCCCAACACTGCAAATATATTGCTAGGAATAGCAGCTGCTACTGTAATAAATGATTCAAGGAAAACGCCACTTTCGATTTTGTCTGAACATAGGTCCACATGGGAGTGTGATCCTGTCTTAACTACAAATTCAGTCACCTATCCAATCAACAAATAAAAATAAATATTTAAAATAATTTATTGATAAGTCATTAATGCTAATATAAAGTACAAATAAACAAAATAAATATAATATAATACACAAACCTCGCACACGAGTGCTTGTTCACTACCATTATGTGCTCGAGCATATTCATCAAATCTATTAAATAGCTCTGGGAACCACATCATAAGACCATAATAACTATATATAAAAAAAAATCAATTTGTGATAATTTTTTGATAATTATACAATTATAAACTTAACATACCCAATATGAAAACTGAGGTTGATCACTATAGATATCCACGTATACTTTAATATTGGTGGCATAAATATCATCTTAGTATTATGAGCTACTTCTTCAGTCATATTTTTAAAAGAAATACTTTTTGTACTATCATGTTCAATAGCATTTGATTTAGTTATCAATGATTTAACCTATAATTTTAAAATTATACATATAAATTTATTATTATTTTAGGAGATAATTTAGAATTTTTTTTTTTTAATGTTTTATGTTAAATTATAAAATTACTTAAATGAGAAATATTTATTAAAGCGCCTACATAAACATTGAAATTTACCAACAATTATAAATTGATTAATATAGTTACACAATTTTAGAAATTCTAGCTAATGAATAAAAGTTTTTGTCCATTTACTGTTGCATTACTCTTAAGCTTCATTAAAAGTATAATTATTTTTAAATTGTAATATAAATACAATACTTTTGGTGGTACAAAACATTAAATAGATTCCACATTATTATTATAATAAATTAATATAACTTACTGGATACATTTCAGGATCATTTCCTGTATTAGTAGCGTAAATTTGCTTGAATACTTCTAATGCTTTTTTGTGATCATTACGAGTCAATAGAAACTTTGGACTCTCTGGTAAAAAAAACAGGAACACAGCAACAAGTACACTAGGGATGGAGCATATGGCCAAAAATATTCTCCAAGAGTTATATAAAAAGGTAGGAGACCTAAAGCCAATATCTTGTGGTATGATCATCCATGCTAATGCTAAATATAAAAACATAATACTAATATTAAAATCAATATTATAATAAATAACTTTTGTACTTACATGCTACAAACAAATTCCCAAGAGTCCAAAATGCTGCCATCGAACTCAACATTGAACCACGTTTGTTTTTAGGCTGAAATTCAGCAAAGTATGACCATATAACTGGGCCACTGCCGCCCAATCTAAAATAATTAAAATATGTTAGAAAAGTTTTTAATTATATATTTACATCGTTCATATATACTTACGCAGCTCCATTTAAAAATCTGAAGAACATGAATACACCATAAGACTGGGCAAAAGTAGATGCTACAATACATAGAGCGTTCATAAAACTAATAACAATCAATACTTTACGACGACCCAATGCATCAGCTAGTGAACCCCAAATGTATGCACCAGCCATCATACCTAGAAAATACATTATGTTTTACAGATATATTATACAGCCATTGATTACATGTTAAACATGAGTAATACAATTTAATCATACTAACCAATAAATATAATTGAATTTAGCCATCCTTTGGAGGACGTGTTTAGCTTAAGATCACATTGGGCTGATGGTAATATGAATGACATACATATAACATCCATTTCTTCACTGGTGCTAACAAAACCACACACGACCAACAGTAAATAATGGAATTTTCCATAACCTAGAGAAACAATAATGTTAATAATTAAATTAGAAATTTGTTACAAATGCAGAATACAATTGAATTTCTGTTAAAAAAATAATAATAATTATACAAAAATCTTCATTTTGTATAAATGGTATATTAAATAAGTATATCTACATATTATTATACTATAGTTGGTAAAATGTTTACTAACTTTAAATATTAAATTATATCCAAAAATAAAAACAAATCAACAATTAATATTTTTAATAATTAAAGATAAAATTTCATTAATTGGCCTATTGGTAATTATCATATTTTAATTTATCAATGATGATTATTAATCATTTTACTTTAAAGTGACATGATTAAAAATCCAATAATTAACAAAATGTAATATTGATAGTAAAATGTGTACAAAAATAAACTAAATTGGTGATTTTATTTTAATGCTCTAAATTAAACAAATGACGTTGTCAATCACATCGATAATTGTTATAAAAATAAGTACATGCATATTATATATATATAATCAAAGAATTCTATTTAATGTATAAATATTACAAAATATCAGCATTTGCAATTACCTGTAAGTTCAATTGCTTGTTCAAAATCTGCAACCTCCTTAGTGGGGGGAAAAGAACCATTTTCGATAGCATCTAATTTTTTTTCGTATCTATCTAACGTCTCGCCTAAAAAAAGTACAAAACACCATATAATATTTAAGTTTAAGTAGACCACAGCGATATAATATAAGCGCGCCGTAAAAACATACGTTAGACATGGATGACTTACTTCTAATTTTGAGATCGATAGTTTCTTGGTTTTTTACCCTGCCATTATTGTATTTCGTGTCTAGAAAAATGATTTTAAATACAATATTACGTTAAACCATCGAAATCGCCGTATTATGATATGTGTGACAGTTGGAATTTATTGTTTGGAGAATAAAATAAAGAGGGAGGTGCGGGCATTTTTCTATAAGACAACGGAACACCAAGAAATTAAAACCCGGAAAACGGTAATAGTTTTTACTCGGAGTTGCGAATGTGATTTAAACTTGCAAGAGATGAATGAGTTTTGCGTGTTCTCAAGATGATGTGAGAAAGTGGTAAAGAAAACGAGAATAGATACGCGTGTATACAAAATATGATAGCAGATTTTTTACCGCCGCCGTTAGGAGGGTCCATATCGTTGTAATAACGATCGTGACACGTCAAAGGCCGAATTCATCAACGACTGCAGTTGGTTGAGCCCGAGAGACACCACGACGCGCCGCCGCCGGTTTCACTACTATATTATATTACTACTATATGAAGTGTATGTCACATAATAATAGTAATAATGACGATACGCGTATAATAATGCACTACAATACAGTTTAATAGTCGCCGGTCTATAATGATTTTTATTCGGTGTGACCGCCGACGCAGCCTGGCTCGACCAGCATACAGGACCAAAGTTCGAAAGATTCGTTCAATATATCATACTTTGAACGTTCGTAAATTAGTCAAAATACGCAACTGCAATTGAACAAGAAAAAAAATAAGGCGACGACGATGACAGATTATATAAATCGGAAATTTAAAAGTTCTTCAGTGTCTACGAAGTCGTATATTTCAACAACATTTTATTATTTGACAATAAAAACTGAACGAATTTTAATGATTTATTAATCATTCGAGCCCACGTATATGAAAAATATGATCATCGTGAAAAGGCACGATACAAACTGTGAAATAATAAAACGATCTCTTTCTTCAACTCTCGACAATATTACTTGAAAAAACACGATAATATTATTATACACGGAGATAAAGAGAGAAAAAGAGTGAGAAGAATCCATACAATGGTATTGTTTTCATGTGCATGTTATGTTTGTATATATATATATTATATAATTTTTTTTTGTTACTTTTCGTTTATTGAACGAGTCGAGCTGAGACCATGCGGATTCACGTAGTGGTGGTGACAGTGGTGGTAAGTATACAAGTGGTCTGAGACTTTATTACAATAGAACCACAACCATGAATGGGCAAATAACATAATAATAAATATTATATTATACGCATGGGAGGTGGGTATTATATTATTATTGTATTACCTACCACTTACCTATGCGTTTTGAAGAAAGAAACTACGCCTAAGCTGATAAATAAACGAATATCTACACGCGGTTTTAGATGGTCACAAGTCACAACCGAAATTCCTGAACGGCGTACTAAATTACAATAACAAGTTTTGTTCTTTTCATTATCATCCGGAGTTTTTATACTTTGAAAACTGTAACGAAACGGGTCACAATAGCCCAGTAAATAGTCTGCGCGGACTACGGAGACACATGATATATCGTGTACAACTCAATATTAAATCACCAATTAAAATGCTATTATGACACATTGACATACAGAATTCATTAAAATCGTAACATGTCAATAGATATGCCATGTACATAAAATAAATTACCAATACCGTAGCATTTAACTGTTATTCTTAGTAAATTTATTAAAATACGTTAAGCTTAACGATTGTTGGCTGAATGTCAAAAACAAAAAACACATATGTAAATAATATAATGATTTATAAAGGTACCTACTTAAAATGAACACGGTGTAAAAACACCGTGTTATTTAATTATCTACGCAAAATAATATATTCCGTTTAGTATAATCAATCAAGTTACGAGTCAGATCGCGAAGAACTAAACTCACAATTATTAATAATGGGTACTACAGGTTTAACGCAGCAACTTAAAACGACAATTATGCTGATTTTTTGTAGATATAAATCGTCATACGATTGCCAATATTCTGTTTTGTGGAAAATTGAAAATACAGAGAAATTACCATTAACTTTAGTCTACAGATATGCATTTAATAGGTAGTTATTTTTAAAGCATTCGCGTTAAAAAATACCTGGTATTATTTAAAGACACTACACAATAATTTCCATACATTACATGGCCGGTTATAAGAGTTTTAACGCTGGTAAACGCAGAGCATTAAATAATATATTACATAATATTATCTAGTCACGTAAAGAACGTTCGACGAGGGTAGAAAAAAAAGATTGTCAACTTATAAACAATTTAACAATCGGTATCATATTATATTTATTTTGAAATATTTTTTTTTTTACCTGGACTGTTTGATCCACTATGATCTACCACCATTTTAGTGTTATTGGTCGGTGCAAACCGGGCCAAGACTCAGGACTTGTTCGTATCTGTCGGATATCATAAAACTGGTATCATAACTTATCTCTGACCGGTCGTGTAGATGAAAGGTATCCGGGATGCGACGTCGATTTCATCTGCAAAACACACCACAAATTCAAAACGCTGATCAAAAATATTCGGACGAAACCTCGCGGCGTCGCCGACGAGCTCGTCAAATTCACTACATCACTAATAAAATAATAATAATATTTTAAATAAAATCGTGTTTACATAACGTTATAATCATCATCCAAAAATAATAATTATATTATTGTAATTATTACAATAATACGTACGTCGTACAGCGGAGTACGTCCGCCATATTACTGTTACAATCCTAAACGGTTCGCGGGCGGATCAAGCAACGTTAAGACTCGGGTTTAGGCGTTATTCGGAAACGACGTTCGTGCAAACCCGACAAACGAGTGTACGACAGCGATATTGTACAAGACGGCCGTTGGATCCCGTTGACCGACACCGACGAAACTACCACTAGCTCTACTACGACTGCTGTCTGCTCCGACGACGACGATCGCGACGACTGCGACGGTACACACACGTGTGTGCGCCTTTATATATATTCCATACACACGCAAGCAACAATATTGTTATTATTTGGTGTTATTATTATTATTTACACACGCGCTTGCTCGTATCATTATAATAAGTGCGAGTATACCGCTGAGCGTCGGATCGACACGCGTCCGTCGGCCAGGTTCATTAGAATGTGGAATGAAAGGCTGTTGTGCGCGCGAAGAGCTGCTGCTGCGGAACGAGATTTATTCATTTTTTTTTTTTTTTTTTTTAACGCGGAGAGTGGAGCGTACAGAGTGCAGACCTTGAAATGGACAGCCGCCTCGGGCCTCGTACGAAAATGAGATTGTCAATCGAACTCCATATTATAATTTGTATATGCATTATACAATACACGTGTGTGAATAACTCGCATAATAGCACACGTTAATGTGGTTTTACACCGGATATTTATCGAGTTGCCGGTCCGAGAATCGTTTTTAACGGACCCTCTTGAAACGCCGATATTCCGCTGTTCCGCCGCACATTGGTATCGTGCCACGACGAACATCGATCGATCAAATTATTATTAATATAAATCGCGATATCGTACACAAGAACGAAGTGTCATTATGTTAAACACGTATAAATGATATACATACCGACAAGTTTGTGTGGCGAATTTTTTTTAATGAAAACACGATTTAAATTCGTTATTATTGAATATTGAAATACACGCCCTGCTGGTTTTGGTGCTATTGGGCACCGAAATCATTTCTGAACATAATTCATAAATTGCCGAAAAAGACGGAATTAGCTAACAGAACAAATAAGAGTAACTACGAATAAAATTAAAATTAAAACACAAAGAATCGATAATGAGATGATATCATATTCTCGACAGTCGGACTAACGTTTAAAATCACGCTTATATTCTACATAAATTTTATTACATGGTCAAAAATTTAAAAAAAAATTAATCTGCATGAACTACTAATTAACACTTTTTAGCTTCTATTCAAATTTATTTTATTGACAATAGCCATTAACCATAATAAAAACTAATAATTTTTTTTTTTATAAAACTGTAAATTATATTAGTATAATAGTTACCTCTCATAATACAACCATAATTAAATAGAATAATTAGATAAATAAATGAAATGCCTTAAGAACAATTGCATCTGAAATTATGTTCTATTTAAGTCATAGAATTAAATTTCAAATTCAATAAAATTAAATAAAATATTCAACTATCGATTAACCTAAACACTAAAATAATCTAATAATATATTGAAATTAATAAATTTTAAAGCATGACCTAACCATAAAATATAATATACTTATTTTAGTTTTTCATTTTTCCGTGTACAATTATGAATTCAAGACAATAATAGTACATCTATAATTAATTAATTATGATCTGCAACTCGCATCAACGTCGAATTCTGATAAAACACAATGTGTCATAATAAATCCAAACGATACAATAAGCCCTATAGATTATGATACAAAACTGGAATAAATAAAACAAATATTTAATCTGTATACAATGGCAAGTACCTATTTATTACCTAATCATAATAAATAATAATCAGAACTGTTGAAATAGAATTTCAGATAGTTCTTCGTTTATCAAATCATGTTTACTTTCTAAGTAAACTTTATTATTGTAATTTTACAATAACATAATACAGAGCGACAGAAATAGTTATGCGAACCTAAATTATAAATAATTCATCACTTTTAAACTCAGAATAATAATTAAATTTTGAACCCGTAAGTTATAATTTATAGTAAAGGTGTATTTACTAGAATACATTTAATAAAATCTAATTTTATATATGTCTTAATTACTACTAATTAAAATGTAAGCTAATTTAAAAAAGAATAAACTTAAATTTATAGTAATGAATAACAAACAGAAAAAAATTAACAGATGTTAATAATATATTTGTTATTTAAAAGCATTTTAGAATGTAAAGTATTAAGTAATATTAATGTACGGTTAATTATTATAAACACTCTTAATTGCATTGAGATATTTAATAGTACCAATGAGATAGAATTCGAAAGTCAAACTAAACGCCTATTAAATTGAAGTATTAAATCGTCGAATAATACGTTTAGTAAATACAAAACATAAAATTGTAAGAAAAAAAAACATTGTTCATAGACAAATTTCTAACATTCTTGTGATTGACTTTTAATAATTTATGTCTTATATTATCATCGCTTAGTTCTAAACTTAAAACGTTTTTATTATAATCCTAAGACTTTGTAATTAAGCTTATTGTTTTTGATTTCTACAAATTTCTTTTCTTTTTAAATAAAATAAATTAATATTTAGTTGTGATTTGATTGATTTTAATATTGTTATAAAGATATAATTTATTCAATATAGACTATTTATATTATATAATTAAAAATATGAATATGAAATACAACAATAAAGAAGTTTACGCAACTAAAGTTTGAGATGTCAGACGCTTACTGAGCACCGTTCCAAATATTTATGCTGATTTTTACACAAGACTCGACAAAAAAGATGTTATTTTCTAAGCTGACATTGTGTTATGCTAATATATTTACTCTAAAATTTATTGCGATAAAATTTACATACAATTTCAACTTTAATTGCAATAAAACCTACTATAAGTCAAGTATAAGTGTTTACATAATAATAGTAAATTTGCAAATTAATAGTCTTTGATAAGTCTAGACTAATAATTTATGATTATTATTAGTAAAAAGAAACAATTGACCTTAAAAAAAAAAATTATGAAATACCTAGACCCTGAAAACAAATACAATATCAACGCCCAAATAATAAATAGGCGAAAAATGTTACTCATGAACACGTTTCAAATTTCCTGCAATTTGTGTTTCATAGCACTTTGGTGAGCTAATCTGTCTAAAAAAAAGGTGTAGTGTAACAAAACAAATTTTTGTAAAATGTTCGATCGTGAAATTAAAAAAAAGTAATTTGTGCATTTCCTGTAATTAACCAGTCAAGTTATTCATTCACATTCATTCTATCAAACATAATCGAAAATAGATAAATACACGTCATCAAATTAACATTTGGTGTGACATTTTTAGTTGGTGGTATTGCGTTTTACAATTTTGACTAAAAGGCTATAATTTATAATACATTATCTCAATGCATGGTAATTTATTATGAACCCATATTGTCTACACTGAATTACAAAATCATAAGAATGAAAAGTTACTATATTGTAATACGTGAATAGCCATCGGCCGAGTTCATTTTTTATCAAATATGATTATTTTAACAATAGACTGAATTCACTAAATTACCAAATATTATCCCATTCTAATAACAAACACGTTAAAAATGTATTATCTCATGTACCTTGTACCTTGTATGTACAAAATCAATGTAAACCGAAAATGTAGAACTTAAGGAATCTACACAAATACCTAGTTTTAGAAGTCGTATTGATAAGGTAAAAACGTATTTAGATAAATATTATCATTATCATTTTATCTTGAACAAGAAGAAAATATATACAATTATTATTAACGAATTCGTATTAGAGCAAAAAACGAAAATAATGTGTATTAGAAAAAAATAACTATACAATTATATAATATTACATGAAATAAAAAACTTCTTCACAATTCATACGCCAGTTTCTTCTTTCCTATCATCGTTTTGATTATGTAATGACTAATTTAATCCCGAAAGCTGATTTTCCTGTTAAACTTGTTCAATTAGTAATCAACCTAACACACTAAGTTATAAACATTTTATTGTTTATTTAGTTATTAATTATTTAAAAAGTATAAGTACATTTAATAACATAAAAATATGTTATTGAGAAATTTCTTTTAAAAATTAATAAGTATGTGAAGTTTATATAATTTTAATTTTCGAGTCAAGGTTGAAATGAGTTGACACGATTAACACGACTTTATAAAAAAATAGAGCTAAGTACAGGCATATTCAGAATTAACAATGACATAATAATATGTACATAAAATAATGACCAATCTACACTTAATATTTGATTACAATATATTTTCAACATATTTTTGATTTTTTAAACGCAATAAATAATAAAATAAAATTACTTGATACATTTTATATGCAATAGATAATAACCGTAATAAAACGAAAATATAAATACCACCTGCATATATTATAATATTAAAGTGATAAATAATAATGCACTTAATGCATATTTTTATTAGTGCGAATTGAATTATCTCAGTCAAATAATTCACATAGTCAAGACTTCCCCAACACATGAACTAACAAATTCAATTGTTCTTTCTTTTCCTATAACACGTGTAGGTATAAAACAATGGCGTGATTATATCTTCAATAACAATTTAAAAACCAAGTACCATTGATTTATGGAACCGTGGAAGAATATTGTACCTATCAGGGTTTACCATTTTTCGCTTATTCTGATTTGGTTGTCCTTACACTTCAGTATATTTAACGTACTAAAGACTTCTAGATAATTTATGTGTATACATATATGTTTCAAGGAAAAGTTATTTTACTAAATAAAAATTAATTAATACATTTTATAAAAACTGTAGGAGATTA